CAAATTTATTCAACGATGAAAACTGAGGGTAATCTCAGTCGAAATGAACTGTCTAATGATATTATTCAGACTGCGTGTAGAAATATGAATATTGAAGTATGAAGCAGTAAATTCAGATATTATAAGTGAACAGGGTAAAAATGTTGAAATATAATTAATTTACTTGTAATTTGATAAGTCACATATAGATATAGACCAACAAATTGTGATTTTCTTGTGAACTCATCAGGTACGGATTCGTACACAGTGTCAAACCACACCTTAATTGTAAGGGCCAGTAATGCTACCCAGTTTGTTCAAATCAGATTAAGTGAGACCTTGCAATTCAGTGGCTGAAAGTCGAATACATTAACCACTACTGGGTCGCCGTGTCGTTAATAGAAAAACTAATAAGGAAGAGTGGATACATCCGGCATAAAACTCACTTTAAACTTAATGCACAACAATAGCTTCATACACTGTATCTATTACTCTTGACATATCCTACAACCTGACAGTTCCAAGAATACTATGAAGGTATCCGACAGACTTAGTACAAATTGTAAATAACAAAACTTTGAATGATACTAATTTTTGGTTTTCATTACACTCTAACGGTTCATCAAATGAAGGAATTTAAGTATATTTTACAAACTCCTAACTTTTTTATTAATATATTGCGAGAAACTCGAAAATAATAAAAATACTACTACTACTATAACTAGTAATATTAGTAATAATAATAATAGTAATAACAATAATGGTAATGATATCTCACAACTTTTTCGTACTTCTAATAATCATGTTGGAACTTCTTTACTTCCCACTTGTGTTAAATGTAAAAATACACATGCTTAAATATAAATAAAAAATCCCTCACTCAACATTTAGGATAAGATCTGGGGTCAGTAGTCAAACTGTAACCCAATGGTTTATAAGTTAGATTAGCTACTATTATGAATCTAAGAACACTAAGAATCATGAACACAACTGACTTGAACAATCTAATGTCAAATAATTAATGGATTAAAACTCAGCTTCTTCTCTACTTACTGAATTATGGGAGATCAAAAAAGTATTAGCAATCCTCAGATGGTAAATAAAACTCATAGATAATGGTAATACACATTAACAATCGTACAATAACAAAAATCTGAACGCATTAATTAATCTAAAGACTAAACTAATTTCATTTAATATATTGATACTGATAAGAGTATGGGTAAGATCGAGTTTGAGAAAATAAACAGCTTTGATATAAATAAACAATATATTTGTAATATCCCAATGAGTAGAAAAATCAGATCTTCTGACGTTTCGTGAATTAGTGTAATCCACTTCTTCAGAGAACACATAACCAAATCAAAATTAATCCGAGTTTAAATTGTACAATCTTTTTTTCTACTCATTGGGATATTACAAATACATTATTTATTTATAACAATCTACACAATGCTCAATTTATTCGAAATTATCAACTCAAACCTTGGTAATGACACCTACAAAGAGCTTTGATGATAATGACATTCATTTTACCATATACTTACATGGTTACAGTTAATGCTTTGCAGTGGATTTATGGTTCAATGGTCATGGCGTTCTACTTTCCACCACCGAATCTCAGGTTTGAAACCCGTCCCACCTAATTCGGGCCGGGAAACTGGGCAACATCATTATCTCCTATACTTAGAGTGTGCCTCATACTCATATACCTAGTGAATGTGCTTGACTTTTTAATAATTTAAGGCACAAAATATTCAAATAAGGAAATGAACATCTATCTCATATACATCTATATTGTGAATATTCAATAAAATAGGTATAAATACGTTTTTTAAGTGTTTAGCGGTAGAATATTTTTATTTGGCCAGTTCCGCCATTACAATATATTTGATGTGCGAATTATAGAGCAAACACCTACTGCGTCTCCCTACGATAGAGACAATAAAGAAAATATATCAAACCATCGTGATTTTCCCACTTGCATTTTTTAGCATTAAGCAGTACGAAAGATTACCAGATTTTCAGAAAAAGCGCATGAGTTCATTATACGATTCATTTATGTAATTAATTCGTTAAAACAAATCGGAAGTAAGAAACTTTATTGAAGTATTTCCAATAGGCGTCCCCCCCCCCAGTGTTTCAACCACGCTACCATCAGCTATCTTTTGAAAATATTATAATTCATCATAAAAATCAAATCAATGAGTTAACCGAGTAACATTAAGCATGTGTACCAAACATAACACATACACAATACACTGTGTAATTTTGAATGTGTCATACTCACATTTATAACGAATAAATATTGTTTGACCCTACAGTTCACACAAAAAAGACGAAGTCAAATACGATGGGCAACAAGAAATAATCATAATTCGCAGAATCGATTGTCGATCGGCCACAAAAAAAACACACAATTAAAACCGCATTTATTTCGTCGCCAACACTCGAGTATCATACTAACTCTTACACCGATGTTAAGATCCAGTGATAATAAATGATCAATTTTCACAGAATTTATCCTATTAAATTTACCTCGATTTTCCCAGTAAAGTAGTATTTTTCTAACCTTCAACTATATATAAATTGATTACAATTTCAATGCATCATGAAAATTAACATGAATACAATGGTATTTATTGACACACAATAGATATTTGTTGTCATCTACTGTATGAGTGAGTAAATAATTAGCGAATTAAAGTAAACAGTTGGGGTTTTCGTAAATTATTTGATTACAATGATTTATATAGAACATAAATATCAAGTATGAATAAAACTGATTCAGTTTTGAAAGATTTGAAAGACAGTAGTATCCTAACAAATCAGTTTCAAGAATAAAACAAAAACTGCAATGATAATCAAAATCTCAGGATTTATTATTTTATATTTATTTCTACGCCTCAGATCGTTTTTTTATATAAAATGAATAATCATTTCTAAATATTTTGTGCAAACCAATTTGAACATGAGATGGCAATCTATAAATGACATTGGATGATAGCAAACAGATTAAGGCTAAGTAATTTTCAATACTGGAATCCAACCTAATAAGCAGATGCAGTGTGGCTATCAGAAAACTTAATGACACTCACGACTTAACTACAGGGGATCGAACCCAGGACCTTTAGGTCTTGAGAAATCTCAAGCTAATACGATAAAGTTGTTCAATGGATCTTTACCTGAGGTCGATTTGTGACGAAAACTATTTGCATACTTCTTTGCCTGATAAATACATAAGCAATTACGTTGTTGGTTTGATATTTTATGTATTTTTAGTCTTGATATACAAAAGTAATAAGATGATTTATTGTCTACGCTGTTATTTTTGTAATCTCTGCTACATTAGACTTATGGTTATATAAAAAGGGAGAAATTAACAACTTTCTACCCGAAAATAAAAGTTTACTTCAAACAATTAATTAATTCAATGTTTTTTTACACACGTAAACCAGACCAGAATAAGGCTAGTACTTTACAAATCCGCTTACAAAGGAACAAACAACTGTTTGTTCTCACATAAGTTTCTTACAGGAATAAGAAGCGGCAATTCGAAATGGTGTTATAGAAAACATTCTAGTAGTTTACCATACTACTACCGATACCACTTAACTGTACAATTATTCAATAATACAAATTTCTTTAGGAAAAATAGATAAATAAACATGTCTTTCAACATCATTGTTCTTTCAGATAGTATAACTTCATAGATATTTGCCGATAATTACGAAGTTTTTTTATAATATATAATTAGATTAGTGTTTCAGTTTCACACGAATTTTTTTTCCTAGTCGTGAATTTTATTTTACAACAGTCGTGTATACTACTAATAAGGAATGAAATATTTTGATTTTAATTTTTTATATACATTATGCAGATGATCAGTTTCCATAAAATCAAAGCATATTACCATATTATGAAAACTTAGGAAATGAATTAACAAAACAGTTTTGTTGATAATTTTTTTCCCTAAACACAGTTAAATGGTACTTAGACCATACTACAAAAACAGAGATTGCGATTATGGGAATGTTATGTTACGTGAAACTATGGGTTTTTTTCAGTTATTTTTGAGAATCAGAACAAATATTCACAATTTTTTAAAGTATCAACACTATTAATAGTAGACAATTGATGAAGACGATTGACATTAGGAGGAAAGTTATTGATAATAAACACAGGGAAAAGATGTAAGATTCCGGGGTTCATGAACTGAGAAAAGACAAAAAGTGAATGCACTTGTGACATTGCAAACGATTCTGAGCCACGTTACTCAGACTCAAACCACTGGTTACGGTAGTCGGGCAAACTCAAAACAATCTGCATCTACCTACATGCCTTAGTCCAACAGTCAATGAATTCATGAATTAATGCCACGATTTGATTTGGCATCCCCTAGTTTCCTTCTAATCTAGTCCTGCATCAAACAACATTGTCCATCAAAGTATGTGGTGGTTGGGAATACGTAATGCACGTCTCAAATACCCCAGTGGATAAATTTAATACCTTACCAATCGATTCACCATCTCTACGTAGTAATGTGACCCTGACATATACATTACTCACTTAGTGGTCCCAGTATGCAAGGGTAATGGTTCGAAGACACTCTAATCGAATGCTAGTAACCTACGGATATCCTCCCCTTAATGATCATATTTCATACCTATAAAGTAGAAAGAGACGGACTGATGTTTAGCAAACTCGTCCTGTTTTGCAGATAATCGGTTCAACTGTAAGACAGTGTCAAAAACGTTGGAATTGATTCGATGTGAACTGGATTCTGTCACAATATGTTTTTCTATGGATATCAAGTCATAAGCTGAATTAATACCAAATATTATATTCATGTGGGAATACTTGTCAGTGAGGCATAAAAACACTTTGTAGATAAGGCGAGCATCACAAACACTAGCTTCAATTAGGACGATGATATAAAAAAACTCATACGTTCTGACGCTGAATAATGAAAATGGATAAATTGTTTAAAGGGCATAACAGTTAAAAGGAATATAATTTACCAGTATAGTTCGGTGGATAACCATTCCCATATGTGTTTGAACGGCTTACATCATGTTGAACTGATCTATAATCTGGACATAATGATAAATTTGTAAGGCACTGGTCAGGAGATAGATGTAAATTTTTACTATCTAAATTTATTGTTGGATATATATGTTGGCCAGCTACGTTTGTTGCCCTGTTATAAATACAATTTGTATATCTACTGTGATGTCCCACGTTCGTAGAATCGGCACTCTCAAGGATGCTTGCATCCTCAAAATTATTCTCGTTTATATCCGTACCGCAATGGCCGCACGAGTTAGACTGGTAGTTTTGCGAAAATCTACGTGTAGACATTTTGGATGATGATTTCTTATTACGGCGTTTATGCACGAAGTAAGTGTCCTTCATTTCATCTGAACGTTCATTATTTTCACTTGAATCGGAATCTTCTTCGGGAATAAATAAATTCTCACGTTGTAATGGTGCAGAACCTGGCCTATTAATTTGTGGTTTCCTAATTGATGAGTCTAAGTAGGCAGTGTAGGATATAGTTCTAGGCCGACAGTTCGCATGTTTTGATTGCCGTGAAATAGAAGCACTGGAGTTTATATCAGTGCTTCTATTGGGATGCACAGCAGTACGTCGATTAGAATGTGTTGAAGAATTGAACAAATCCCCATGAATCTTGCTTTCTTCGCGAATAGGAATCGGGCGAAATAAATGAGTAGAAGGATTTTTCTCATGTGTACAAACAGAATATGATGGCTTTGATGAGTAGAAATTACTGGAATTTTCTGTTTTATAAATCTTATCATTAATGTCATCGGGGGACTGTAAACCGTTTGAATCATTGTATGCATTTTGACCTTCGGAATTCAATCCAAGAGAGAAAAATGATGATAAATCAGAGAGAGGAATAGTTTCTGGATACGAATCTATCATATCTACAACATTTTGTGATACTGGTTTACATGGTTCGCATGTATGAGGATACTTATTTGAACAAGTCCATGGAGTAGACCAAGTCGGCGAAGTTCTTATCATATCACTTATACTTGTAACGAACATTCTATCTGAAAGTTCTTCATTAAATTCACTAGCACAAGGTAAATTATTTAGACATGAACTTGAGCTAGTAACAGAGTTTCTAGAGCTTACGTCTGATTCGTTTAAATGTGTCAGCCTCCAAGGCGAATTAGCTTGATCAGATTGATTCAGCATAAAAACACTTTCACGATCGGATGATATCAATGATGAAAAAATTGAGTGAGGTAAGGCACAGTAAGATGAAATTAGATTTGATGGAGATCTAGTTTTAGAATCACCTCCTCCAGTCCAACTAGAAAATCCACTATCTGTGTTAACACAAACTTGATGAACAGAAGATTCACAGTTTCTCCAGAAGCAAGATGGAGTAGTTACCGTTGTACGACCAATGGGAGGAGAATATCTATTGGAGCTTGATGTTGTAGGTTCACCAAATAAATCTTGACTTGGTGATATTGGTAACTCGAATGTATGTAATAAATCCGATTCGGTAGTATGATCTTCAAAACTGCTGCAAAATGGTCCCAGCTGTCCAGTGCAATCTTGTGAAATATTACAAGCTTTAGATGGATCCAATTTATCATCACCCATTAGGGCAGGAGTGTCTTATAGCAATATGCGCGAAACAGCCGAATCGAAAACACGTGTAGTGACGATTTGCTTCTTCGAACAGCATGTCAACTTTAGTTAGCGAATCAAAAATTAGCGTTCGATTAGACTACTCCGAATCGACCAATCAAAATTTTATATATTTTTAGTAATACAATTGGCCAATTGATAGCTAGACAGAATAGACTTTTTCGATGGCATCTTATTTTATTACACCAATGAGATTGTAGTAGACTGGATAAATCCAGGGTTGTACATTTTAATCAGGAGTCACGTGACACTACTGTGGCTGTAGCTCTTCACTAGACAGCATAACTAAGACCTGTAACAAATACGATAACAATTGTGATCACTAAGTAAATAGCAATTCAATAACATTGTATGCCAAGTAAAGTGGTGGTGCACCAATGTATATTTAGCTAATTTATTCTGTAAAGATATTTTTAGTGAAATCACGTTTAAGTCACAATAATCATTACACTTGATCCAAAATATCGGCATATTAGATAAATTAGTATTATCTGCATAATAATTTATTAGACATGGATGAATTCTCTCCATAGTTCAAATTATACTCACTCCCTTAGTTACAGAAATATTCTTTTGTAATCTTGAAACTTCATTTTCTTCGATGTAATTAATTGCTGATGTCAGTTAAAAGAATATGGACATATTTTTTTTACAATGTTACTTCAATGATAGAAGAGTTTAAGGTAATTTTCATGTTTTTTAAACTAGTAACCATTTACCAGGTACTGATTTATCTACCTGGCTTCTAACCACATTCTGCTTGAAGGCTTGTAATAAGCGGCCACAGCAAACAAAATAAATAGAACGAGGTTCGAACGTGTAACCTGTTGACGGGAAGTCGGGCGCTTTAACCGCCGAGTTACCGCCTAATCTGCAGTATTCAGTAAAAGCAAAGGAATTTCCATAAAAGTTCTATATGTTTAGTTGATGTGATGATAATAAATATGTTCTCAACCAAACAACGGACTTATAAAAATCTGCGAAATGATTACTAAAGCATAATTTAACAAACCATACTGACTAAATTAAACAAATTAGAAGGTATTCTGAACGATGATTATAAATATTTGCAATCCACCATGAAAATAACTTTTGTGAATTTAGAAAATTACCATAAAGAGGATGAAGTTAGTTTTAAGCGTTAATCCATGTTCGTGATATTTATAGCTGTTTCATTAATAATCTGCCTATGTAAATGATACTGTTGTCTAAAGCAGAAAAACGCTTTAAATAGAGTGAAAATGTGTTTCTAATTGATGAATTTTATTTACTAAAAATCAAAATTGAGACAACATAAAAATATATATCACGTAAATGTGAGATTTCTCATACAGCAGGAAATAGTAATATATCTTTCAAATAAAAATTGAGATCATTATATATTGCGTTTCAATTTAGTGATCTGATGCTATCGAGTTAGCTATAAATTGGGATAGTCCTAAGTTGGATCCTGAGTAAGTTTATATGTACCCATTAATGTTATTTGTTAAAGTACAAGAAGTAGCTACTCGGTTCTTTCTGATTTTTAGCAACTAATTAAGTGACTTCAATTCTCTGACAACATTAACTTTTGTAGGATTCAAAATGTTCATGAAACCAATTAGGTGTTACAAAGATGAAATAAAAAGATGTTTCGTCCTGATATGACAATCCTTAGTATTGTACATTCATGACCATGTTAGTAGTAAATCTCCAGGCCTGGTCATGCGAGTATTTCAATTGTAACCACTGGGTTAGTATCCAAAGATGTGCATTTCTAGCTTTAAATAATTCGCGATATGCTGCGGTAACCAGTCAGTGCCATTGGTTTTTAATAATACAGTACAATAATACTGAAACAGTTATCACCAATGTTATTGGTTGGTCATAACGCCATTTTTTGAATTTATTCAAATTCTAAATCTTTACTACTAAACACCGTACCGGTGATTGTAATGTTTAATTACTCCCCATGAGAACTAGATGTCCTCAACTAGATACTTTGCGATGTTATGGTCACAATTTTTACAAAGATTCTAACCTTTATAAGATTTAACAATTATACAAACTCAAAAAAGATTTAGATTGAAAGAAGAATTTACGTAACATTTTCCTAGTTCAAGTTCGTATTATGGACTAACTGCAAATAAAAATTGAAAGTTGACCACTAGTTAAAAAAGAATTGAAGTCCAATAATTATATGGGTGGGTTTGACCCCTGTTTCAAACAGTCTACATACAAAAATATGCCTTAAAATTATGAATAGAAATCTACCTACTCTTTCTAAATAAATTACTTATTATCAGGAAGAAAAATTCATGGAGTTTGTTAGGTTTAGATATAAAATTTATTTAATGGACTTACATTCACTAAATCATTAGTTAATGACTTCAAGAAGATTGATCTAAGTTCTATTCAGAACCCATAATCAGTAGGAGTTAACTGAATGAATGAGATAATTATTAATGCTTAAAATTATAAATCTGGATCACTGGATCGCAACTTGATTTTCTAGAGACAATATGCTCATCAAAATACCTAGTACCTCTTCGATTCTGATCATCGGATGAGATTGTAAATGTGCACCGCTTATGAACCATATATTGGGATAAAACAACTTTCCAGTGATTTTCAATATTTCACTGATTGTTTGGCTTAAGTAAACTTGTAACGTAAAACCTCGTTTTATGGATTATTTTATCCACATTGAAATCTCAATAGACTCAAGATTTTCATATTACTAAGATGTCCTTTTTTGCTTATGAGCTCAATCATTAGACTCGACAACTCTTTATCAGTTTAATATTCACAAATAATATTACTATTTTTAATCAATCGATTAATAAAAAAAACCTCAGCTCACAAGTAGTTTACCTCAAAATGCTCCCAAAGTTCTAGCAAGAAGTAGTGACTACTGAATTCTGAATAATTAGGGAGTGAAGCAGTTGTGACCTTCAATATTGTATGATCATCTTGCCATATCTTAATTAATGTTGTATTTATACCACTGAACACGGACCTAGTGTTTCCAATGGTTAAATATTTTGCAGTGAAACTTGGAGATTCTAAATTCATTGCTATTGGGGGGTCCTTTACTAGAAAAAACAGTCACATACAACTCCTTAACCTTTAATGATACCCCAAGTGTGATCAATCTGTAATGAATACAACGTACAAAGTTATACAGATAAACACCACTCACTGTTACAGATATTTACTGTATATAATTGTATTTAACATAAACAACAAACTATAATATATTCACTTATTATAAATTAGTTACTGTGCTCTGTCAAAATGTAATTTCATTTATTTAATTATAATTTTTGTTTGTCTATTTCGAATATGAAAGTTGACGAAGAGAAGAATTATAAAAGGAGTCAAGTGGTACCAGTACAGAAGATATGTGAATAATAAGCATGTACATAAGTATATATATATATATATATATATATATATATATATATATATATATATATATATATATATATATATATATATATATATATATATATATATATATATAAACGCGTGCATTCGTGCCCCTATACGAACTGTAAATTTTCATCAACACCGTTAAGACAGCATAAATACAATTTCAATGAAATATGATATTTTTCTCCACAATATACACATAATTCAGTAAATAATTTGACAGCATTGTGGTAGGTTTCTTTACTTCCTATATCAGTAATGATGATTATTGTATGATCATCATTCTTCCTTTCTCTCTCGTTCTTTGTTTATCTGTGAAGTAGAAATTCATCTGTTTTATCACAGTTGGCGTACTGGGCTTTTTTCACACATACACATGTACTAATAAACAATTAAACATATATTCATGATATACTACTGATTTAGAAATCAAGATAAAACAAGATGATTTATTCAATTGTCAATATATATATATATATATATATATATATATATATATATATATATATATATATATATATATATATATATATATATATATACCATAAAATTAAAAACACATGTCAATTGTGAAAATGAAGTGACTAGTCTCCATTCGAAACAGACGTTGATCAGATTACCTTCCTTAAAAAGGCGAAGTTATTTATGGTGGGAATTCGGAAAAATTAAAAAGAAAACTAGTAATCCATTTACCTAGTAACTGTATGTATATTTATATGTTAAGTGAACAAACAACAACACAGAACCCAGCATGATTAAGTCTACCTGTTCAAACTGCCAGACTTCACACCTCAGTAGAGTAAGAGAGAGAAAAAGAGAAGAGATTAACCATATGAGAGCAACGGAAATGGGTTAATGGTTATTATTATTATTATTATTATTATTATTATTATTATTATTATTATTATTATTATTATTATTATTATTATTATTATTATTACTGTTCACATAGATGACTAGCTTCTATGCAAAATTTCCTGAGTTCTAGTTAGAGGTCACGACTAGTGGTGTTCAACCGCGTCGGGTATGAGGAAGGTTAAAGTTCCCGCGTTAAGTCGAAAGATCTGAATTCGGTTCCTGATGGTAGAGTCCCATAGTGGAATAAACGGTCATCCAGTGCCTCCAGGTTTTCAATGATTGCAAAATTTGGATTGGTCTGTGATTTCAGTGAAATTATTATGTTGATGAGTCATAGACGGAAAGAGTAAGAGAAGGGAAAGTAAGAAACAGAGCCAAGTGGTTATTTGAAAGAAAATGAAGAAATCAGTGTTGGGTAGTGGGCGAACAGTTGGGAAATGAGAAACTGTTCGAACTGCTCTACAGTTGATATATGTATAACTTTTGTTAAGTATTTCGTTTGCGACATTTATATCTTTGAACCTATCATAAACTTATATTCCATTATTGAATTGTCATCTTTCTTAAATTATTTTTATTAAATAATTGTGAACCGATTGATGAGTTCTGTGACATCTATGATTTAGTCATGAACAAATTGTGGTTTCTTATTTATGATGAGCTATGATCAAGTAATTGATGAGATTTTTAAAGTCAATATGACAATATAATGATAGAAGAAATATCAGCCTTCTATCTTC